TTAGCTATCACCCTAAATTGTGTTTCTCCCTTTAATGGAATTTCTCTACTAAACTCCCACATGCTCAGTCATCTTTGAGTGCTGACTTCTAACTCTGCAGTCCAGCAAGATCCCCATTTTCTGTTTGGGATCTCTACAAGTCAGCTCACATGGCCTACCCTGTCTCTCTATCCCCCCTACCATAAGGTAAGGCACATTGGGCATGTTTGTAAGGGACCTTTGTAATATATTAGGGTTTTTCTTTCCTTCACAAGACACATGCTGCTTTCTCATCATGGGGTCTTCCTTACAAGTGAAAGAGATTGGCCTGGCTCTGATGAGAACAGCTGGCTCTTCTCATATGAAACACTGCTAAGTCAAGTGGACAAACTTTAAGGATGTGTGGGTCCTGTGTGTTTCTAAGTAACTGCAAGACTTATCTCTGAGTGGATGAGAGCCATATAGGTTGTGTTTTATGCTCTTTAGGGTCTACTGTTGAATCACAGGGAAATGAGGCAGTCTGCACCTAAGAATCATGAAGTAGACAGTTGTGAGGAGGGACTGGTCATCCCCTAGACAGACCAGTCCATCCTCAGTAAATCCCCACAGTCAGACACATCCATCCATCTGTAGCCACCAAAATGAGTGGTCATCATAAAAAGGAGTATTCCTTTCAGAAAGTTGTTCCTCTTCTGATTTGGAGAGTGGAATCTTGAGGCCTTTTATGAGGTTGTAAAGAGTCCAAGAGCATTCAGACACCAAATGAAACAAATAATGACCTGAGGCAGTATGTAATATCACTTCCTGAGTGTGTGCACTATGGCACACACTTCATGTGTGTATCAATTCAATTCACAACTTTATGAGGTTGTTATATTGATAATGGTGAGGGCTAGAGGCCATGAAATCTTAATGGCTTTCCATCATGGAGTTAATCACTCACTTGTGTCACAATGTATGCAGATATCCTGACAAGGTGTCTCTCTTCCAGTGGTGACACAAGGACCCAGGCACATTCATCTGTGGCTCCTTCATTTCCAGTATGTCTCCCAAGGTTGCTGTAGGGAGTCTTCTCTGCACCAGCCAACCAAAAGGGGACAGGGTGGAGATTCACATGGGGGAGCTTCTGATAGACAGGCTAGAAGTGGTACCCACTTTTGTCCACATTCCATTTTCTGGCCTGAAGTGATGATGATAGTGGTATTGTTGAAGATGATGGTGATGGTGATGATGGTGGTGAGGGTAGTAATAATGGTGGTGGTGCTGGTGCTTATGATGGTAATGTTAGTAATGGTGGTGATTTGGGTGATGATGGCAGTAACAGTGATGATGATGATGGTGGTGAAGGTGATGATGGTTTGATGATGGTGATGGTGGTGATGGTGGTGGCAGTGATAGGGTGCTGGTGATAATAGTGGTGGTGAAGGTGATGATGGTTTGATGGGGTGATGGTGATGATGGTGGTGGTAGTGATGATGGTGATGGTGGTGATGGTGATGGCGGTGGTGGTGGTAGTGATGATGGTGATGGTGGTGATGGTGATGGCGGTGGTGGTGGTAGTGATGGTGGTGGTGGTAAAGGTGATGATGGTTTGATGGTGGTGGTGGTGATGGTGGTGGTGGTGATAGGGTACTGGTGATGATAATGGTGGTGAAGGCGATGATGATTTGATGGTGGTGGTAGTGAAGGTGATGATGATTTGATGGTGATGATGATGGTGATGGTGGTGATGATGATGGTGATAGTGATGATGGTCGTGATGGTGATAGTGTGCTGGTGATGATAATGGTGGTGAAGGTGATGATGGTTTGATGGGGGTGGTGGTGGTGATGATGATGGTGATGGTTTGATGGTGGTGGTAGTGAAGGTGATGATTTGATGGTGGTGATGATGATGGTGGCGGTAGTGAAGGCAATGATGGTTTGATGGTGGTGATAATGATAGTGATGATGATGGTGATGGTGATAATGGTGGTGGTAGTGATGGTGGCCTTGGAGAAGGTGATGATGATTTGATTGTGGTGATAGTGGTGAAAATGGTGATGGTGGTGATAGGGTGCTGGTGATGATAATGGTGGTGAAGGTGATGATGGTTTGATGGTTATGATGATAGTGATGGTGGTGATGGTAGTGATAATGGTGGTGAAGGTGGTGATGGTTTGCTGGGGATGATGGTGGTGGTGGTAGTGGTGGTGATGATGGTGAAGTTGTTGGTGGTGATGGTGATGGCAGTGGTGGTCATATTGGGATATGATGTTTTCATGAACATACCAGCCATTGCCATATACATACTATATTCTGTCCATTTTACTGACAATGTAATTGAAAGGCAGGCAAGCTGAGAGGTCACTCAAGGTCACACACCAGTGATTGGCAGAGCTGTATCGACACTCACGCCATCAGTCTCCAGCATGCACATTCTTTTGTGTACATATCCTGGCTCTGGTGTGTTTATTCTAGAAAGATGCAGCTGCCCACCTCAGTGATGAAGCAAATAGCCTTGTAGGCTACAGCAGCCATGTCCTTGCTGAGTGAATCAGTTAGTGGTGGTCAGAGGGGGGCTTTGGTCTTTGAGTTATATTGCAAACATCACCATCATCACTATCATCATTATCATCATCACTGCCATCAACCCACCATCATCTAAGCCCTCCTTTGGCAAAAGGTCATGTTCAAATGAGTGTTCATGGAGAAGTGAACTACTGATCCAGTTTTAGAGACTTTTGTTAGGACTGATAACCAGAATATATAGGGAACTTAAAAAGCTAAATTCTCCCAAAACTAATGAACCAATAAAGAAATGGACAAGTGAACTAAACAGAACTTTCTCAAAAGAAGAAATTCAAATGGCCAAAAAACACATGAAAAAATGCTCACCATCTCTAGTAATAAAGGAAATGCAAATTAAAACCACACTAAGATTCCACCTCACCCCTGTCAGAATAGCCATCATTAGCAACACCACCAACAACAGGTGTTGGCGACAATGTGGGGAAAAAGGAACCCTCTTACACTATTGGTGGGAATGTAAACTAGTACAACCACTCTGGAAAAAAATTTGAAGGCTACTTAAAAAGCTAAACATTGATCTACCATTTGATTCAGCAATACCACTCTGTGACACAATACCACCTGTGACACAGGTGACTCCAGAGGCACCTGCACACCCATGTTTATTGCGGCACTATTCACAATAGCCAAGTTATGGAAACAGCCAAGATGCCCCACCACTGACGAATGGACTAAGAAAATGTGCTATCTCTACACAATGGAATTTTATGCAACCATGAAGAAGAACGAAATGTTATCATTCGCTGGTAAATGGATGGAATTGGAGAACATCATTGTGAGTGAGGTTAGCCTGGCCCAAAAGACCAAAAATCATATGTTCTCCCTCATATGCGAACATTAGATAAAGGGCAAACACAACAAAGGGATTGGACTTTGATCACATGATAAAAGCAAGAGCACACAAGGGAGGGGTGAGGATAGGTAAGACACCTAAAAAATTAGCTAGCAGTTGTTGCCCTCAATGCAGAGAAACTAAAGCAGATACTTTAAAAGCAACTGAGGCCAATAGGAAAAGGGGACCAGGAACTAGAGAAAAGGTTAGATCAAAAAGAATTAACCTAGAAGGTAACACACACACACAGGAAATCAATGTGAGTCAACTCTCTGTATAGCTATCCTTATCTCAACCAGCAAAAACCCTTGTTCCTTCCTATTATTGCTTATACTCTCTCTACAACAAAATTAGAGATAAGGGCAAAATAGTTTCTGCTGGGTATTGAGGGGGTGGGGGGGAGAGGGAGGGGGCGGAGTGGGTGGTAAGGGAGGGGGTGGGGGCAGAGGGGAGAAATGACCCAAGCCTTGTATGCACATATGAATAATAAAATAATAATAATAAAAAAATAGAGACTTTTGTTATAGTAGAATCACATTTGCCTTTGCAAATGGGTCACAAGTGTTGGAGAGTGAATCCTGTTTCCAATGCACAGCAGCAGAGGGGCTTTCTTGAGCCTTACTTCCCTCATTTGCAAAATAATCATGTGCAGAACTCATAAAGTGAGTAGAAGAATGTGTGGTGTGTAGAAAATCCTCAATGAGTGGTCAGGGGTCTCCAGGCTGGGAACCCACAGTTCCCAGGGAACACTAGCCAGGTTTTAGAAGCTCACAGCCAAAGACCTGAAGGTCACACGTACATTCCTTCTAAAATGAAGCTCCCGTTCTCTCAAGCAGGAGGAGTGAGGTGGTTTCACCCCTACTCTGGAGGAAATGGACCTGCCCATGGGTGTCAGGGGCAGGGTGGTCACTCTACCATCACTGGACTGGCTGTTGAGATGGCCGTTTCCCAAACTAGAAGCCTGAAATGCCGCCCCCTGCAAGGTGTGGTGAGCACCATTCACATGGTGTAGACACAAGGGGAGTCATCAGCCTCTGTAGTTGAGGAGTCTATGCAGAGCTGGACTCTTGATGGCTTCTTCAGAACCCCGTGTCTCTCTCTGTCTCTCAATTCTGCCTGATTCCATGGAGTGCTAAGATGGAGGATGTGAAGCCCAGTGTTGCTGTCTTTGGAGTCTTATGAAGAGAGAGAGAGAGAGGGGAGGGGAGAAAGAAGAAGAGATAGAGCGATAGAGAGAAAGAGAGAGAGAGAGAGAGAGAGAGAGAGAGAGAGGAAGAAAATGAGACAAAATGCTGTGTTGTGGTCAGCATCTCCCCATCTCTCCCTGAGCCATACCCGGCTGTCCAGCCTTCAAGTCAGAGGTAGCATTGTGCAGTGACAGTCACATAGCCTGAGGACACACAGGAGTGGTTCCACAGTGTAGACCCGTTCCTGGGAAAAGGTGAATAAGAGCCAGGTTTGAAGAAGTGTAGTGTGCATCCCAGTACCAGACTGCTTGCTCACCTTGCCTCTGGTTTTCCTTCTTCTCTCCTCTTTCCCCTCAGGTAAGACAGGTGGAGCATGGTAAGGCTCTCCAGAGGCCCAGGTCCTGAAAGATTTCCTCCTTTCTGTGCCCCCAGGCCCTCCAGCTCCCCCACAAGATGTCGCCATCCAAGCAGGGGCCACAGCAGCCACCATCCAGGTCTCCTGGAAGCCACCTGCACTGACTCCCACTGGGCTGTCCAATGGGGCAAGCGTCACCGGCTACGGCGTGTATGCCAAAGGGCAGAGAGTGAGTTTATTGGGGGCGCAGAGTCTAGCCGGCTAATTGGGCAGGCTTAGTGCTGGATGTGTGCCCTGCTCCTTGCAGGGGTGAACTTTGGAAGCACCCTTCACCCCCAAGACTCCATCAGCTTTTGTTAGACACCACTGTGCCTCCCGTCCCCCGGGGCCCACCCTATGCTGATCTTCCCTCCATCCAGCATCCTTTCTGCCTCCTTCCCTCTCTCCTGCCCCCCTCACTGACGACCTGCTTCACCTAGGGTTCAAAGTTGTCACCTCTGAGTGCCCAGGTGTCAGAGCTCCCCAGTCAAGGACTGGCTGGCCAATTTTAACAAATCGATTCTTGGCAAGTTGACACTAAGGCCAAGGTGAGTGCCCCCTTGGAAATGTCACAAGATTGGCGCCTCAGAAGATGACTGGACATGGACTCTGGGAAACGGGTTGTGTGGCCATCCTGCCACCCCTGTCCTGGAACAGGAAGTGAAGGTGTCTGTCCTGTCTGGGGACATCTTGAGAAAGCTTCTGCTCAGCTGCTCACTGTCTTCACCCCAGTCTGCCCTCAGGAGTGGGCGCGATGGATCAGGTTGCTGACTCAGGTGTGAGGGCGGGAGACATCCCCACAGGCTGAGTTGGCTCCTACTGCACACTCTGCTCTCTGCCCAGCTCCGTGCAGAAATCCCTCCAGGGAAGCCCCCTGAAAAGAGGCCACTGTCCTCTGCCTGAGCCCACCCTTTTAGCTGTGGCAGTAAGCACTCATTTTTTGGATCCCTCTGGGGCCCTGTACCTGGTTCTGAATTATTTCAAAAGGTTGACACCACAGCTGGCTGGGTCCTGGGACCATAAGCATCTGCTCTCTGCTCTGAGGGACTCCTGGATGTCCCCAACTGTTAGGCAACTTGAGCTGGATGTCAGTGGGTCCCGTTCTTTGCCTTGCTTGGCTAGTGGGTGGCCCTGCCAGTTCAGGTTACACAGGGAGAGGGCATGGGACAACCAGGCAGCCACAACCTGGCCTTCTCTGTGTGCAGGTGGCTGAGGTCATCTTTCCCACGGCGGACAGCACCACGGTAGAACTTGTGAGGTTGCGGAGCCTGGAGGCCAAGGCTGTGACTGTGCGCACACTCTCTGCACAGGGCGAGTCCATGGATTCTGTCTTAGCTGCCATCCCCTCTGACCTCCTGGTGCCTCCAGCCCCCCACCCGAGGACTGCCCCACCTCCGAAGCCATTAACAAGTGCCCCTGATACCAAAGATGAACACCCGGGTCCTCAAGCCAAAACAGACGAGTCCTGGGAGCAGAGCCGGGCACCAGCTCCTGTACATGGATACATGCTGGAGCCGCCCAGCCTGCAGGGTGCTGGCCCTGGGAGAAGGTCACCCTCGCCCAGCCGGATCCTCCCACAGCCCCAGGGAACTCCTGTGTCCACCACCGTCGCCAAGGCCATGGCCCGCGAGGCTGCACAAAGGGTGGCCGAGAGCAGCAGGGTAAGCTATCTTCCACGATGGTAGTCCCTGTGCTCCTGGGGCAAAGCACATCCTGTCTCCCAGCCCAGCGGGTGTAGACAGTACTACCCACCACACTCCACTTCCGGGCTACAGATGTGGAAGAAGGGAAGGGGCCTAGGGGAACAACCTTCCCCGTCCCCTGGGACTGTAGTCTGTCCTGGATCCTGACTGAGCTAAGATGTTTCTAGTCTGCAAATAGAGAACCAAGGGAATATAGGTGCCGTCTGACTTAGAAACAGGTTTTGATGTGGTCAAGGGGTCTGAGAGAGGTCCACCCACCGGGCCTTGGCTGAGGACCATCTTCCTCAACTCGTGCTACTTCTAGGACTTTTCTGGGCCATGGGGATTGGGATTGTGGTTAGACGCACAATTCCAGATGAGGTGTACAATGAAAACAGGTAAATGTCAATAATAGTGCCACCTCCCATCACAGGGTCGGGAGTCAGGACCAGAAACCGGTCTGGCCAAGGCCCTTTCCCCAGCCGCCACCGGTGCCTTGTGTTTGTTGGGTGAACCTGAGTTTTCTACTCCCTTCTAGGAGGCAAGCAAGGGTCAATGGTGGCCGCCCTCTAGCAATGACTGGTGGGTCTCATCAGGTGGTGACCCTGGGACATTAGTGCCAGTGCTAAGACCCTATTAACTGTCCATCTTGCCTTCTGGGCAAGGGGTCCTGCCTACCCTGGTGTCAGAGAACCCAGGAAGGGGCCGCGCTCAGAAGTCAAGCCCCGAGCCTGAGGTCAGCGTACCTGGGAGGCTGTTTCCACACGCGTCGCAGTAAAAAGGCAGCTGTCAGCCTATGCGCCCCATGTGATTTTAAACTGATGTCAGCAGTGCCTCAGCGCCTCTAAGAGAACTGGGTATCCAGGCCTTGCTGTGAAATGTCCTGATGTGTTCACGCAGGCCGTGGCCTCTAATTACTTACAAATGGCAGACATGAATTGGACTTGACCTGGAGGGCTTATCGCTCAGTGCTAAATCCACAGTGCCCCTGGTGGCTCAGGGTGGGCGCCCAGCGCAGGGGAATGATGGGGATGGCAGAGCAGCAAATCTCCAGGCCAGCCCCGATGAGGCCAGGAAGCCCCAGTGACTGGCTCCAGGGGGACAGCGTGGCTCTCAGGCCCCTGTTTAAAGAACATGTGAATGGTTCAGATTGAAGACTTCAGGACACCGTGGCGGCAGAGGCTTCTCACGATAAACCACTGCGGGGTGAAATGTGAGTCTGGTGTAATGGGGAAGGGAGAGGTGAGGGGAGCAGGCCTGTGCTGGTGGCTGAGAAGTCTAGGGAAACACACTCAGCAGCAGTGTAGGGTCACTTGCTAGAGGGGGCGCTTGGCCCAGGGTCCTTCAAACATTTGCCTTGAGGGAGGCTGCAAGGCTAGGTGCATGAAGGATGCATTTTGGGGGGACCCAGGGACAAAGGAGCTTCCTTGTTCCCTGTAGCACCAAGCCAAGCGTGGGCCAAGGTGGCTGGCGTGTCTCCTCCTGACCTCCCAGCCCAGCTCAATTCTTTTGTCCCCTTCTCTTTCCGCAAGTTAGAGTAAAAGGAGGGCCTCTTTCCTGGAGAGGAGCGGGAGGGCAAGTAATGCCAAATCCAGACGAAGGAGGATGGCTCGCTCCCCTGAGTTTCAAGTAGGAGAGGCCACGTTCGGTGGATGACTTTCTGAAAGGTTGAGCTGTGCAAAGCAGGTAGGTTGTGTGCATTGTGGCGTGGACAGGCCACTTGGGATTCCAGAGACCCTGGGGACCCTGCCCCACACACCCTTGGGGGGGTCACAGGAAGGGGAAGAGACACCGATGGGCTGCACCATCACACCAGAGGCTGTGGTTTGATGTAACAGTGCCTGGAAGCAGAGCCTCCTTTGGGGACAATTTCAAAGGTCTCAATGTGACAGTGCCCCTTGCCCCGTTCTGTGCTGAATCTGGTCACGGGGGCAGCTTCGTGTGTCAGGTTAGGGTTCAGTTACAGGCATCTGCCGGGTCTCCATTGAGGCAGAATCTGCCATTTACGTGTTCACTTCTGCTAAGTAGAAATGTTTGTTGGACATCTACCGTGTGCAAGTCATCATGGGAGGTGAAAGGAACAAGAAAAAAACCCCAGTAAACAAAAACACTTGGCATCCTCTACTTGGAGCAGGAAGCATTAGAGCAAGGCTCATAAGTAAATATACCCGATTTAGTGGTTTAGCTGCAGTTTCTGACCATGCACGTGCTAACAGAATGACCCCAAATGGCGTCAAGAGCTGACGTAGGACAGCAGACAGGACGGGGAAGAGCCAAGGGCCTGGAGAGTCCTAGACTCGGGTGTCAAAGCTGGAAGATGCTCAGGTGTCAGGGGGCCCAATGTCCCCATCTACTCGGGTACCAGGCAGTGCACAGGCGCACAGGGGTGCCGGAGCTCCGAGTTCTGCAGTCTGGGACTCATCTCACATTCTGGGTCTGCCGAGGCTGGTTGTAGCTGTAGCTCCATTCGTGGGCAAGCCACACACCTCTTCCAGTCGTGAGCATCTGTGTGGGAAAGATGGAAAAGATTCCGCATTCATTTTAACCCAGGAAACAAAATGTCCCATGAGAATGACGGAGGTGACAAAGACATTCGTTTATCTATCACAGGAGTCGGGGGCAGGAAGGTGCTGGATCGATTCAGCTGCGCAACTGAGCAGAAGCTCTGAGTTAGGTCTTTTCCACTTTCTTGACTTTCCCCTCCTGGTTACAAAGTGTCTGCCATAGCTCCAAAAATGACATCCTCAAAGGAAAGCACTTCCCAAGAAAGGAAGGGGTGTGTGGAAATCAGAATTCCTTCGACTCGGACTTCCGCCACATCTCTCTCTGGGTAGACTGAGGTCATATGTGCACCACCCAGCTGGGATTAGGATTTCTGTGAATGACGAAATTAGAGCTCTGTAACGCAGCAGAAAAAGTGAGCGTTTTCGTTGACCGTTGTATCGGTCAGCGAGGGAGTCCACGACAAATTGGATGGCTTACACAATTTCTCACAGTCCTGAAGGCTGAAAGTTCAACATGGAGGTGCTGGTTCCTCCCGAGGCCTCTGTCCTCGGCTTATGGATGGCCCCTTCTCCATGTGTCCTCACATGGCCTTTTCTCTGCACGTTCCTGACATCTCTGTCTCCTTACAAGGGGAACAGTCAGAATGGGCTGGAGTCCTGCCCTGTGCCCCTCCACACGCCTGGCGCCTTTCCAAGACATAAAGTCCTGTGGCCATTACTTCCCTTGCCTGGTTCACGGGTTGGCTTTGGGGCCACCACTCCAGTCCAATCATCAATGTCCAGCCAAGAGTATCCTTGCCCACTTGGTTAGGGTAAAATGTCACATTGACAACATGGTGGGTAAACCGCCAATGGCACACAGTGACTTCCTAATAAAAATGCATGCTATCATTTTGTCCCTACCCTGGGGGAACTGATTTGATGCCCACAGGATGGAGGACCTTTGCTGAGACCACGACAGCTGGTTTACAGCAAGAGGCTTCGGAATCGGATTACAACCAGCATTGGGGGACAACCTGCCTGGACGTTTTTTCAAACATAACCACGTCTCCCTCCCACCCGAAGTCAATGATTTGCAGTTGGTGACATTCCCTCAGGTTTCAAAACCAGAGAAGAGCAGACCCCAAGTTCTCTAAGTGTGAGGGCCACACACCATGGTTTGGGTTTTGAGATCAAGACTGTCCAATGTGGACTTGTCACTGTCACCGTGTGGTCCTGAAGCGCCTCAGACTGCCTCAGGTACCACTGACTTGTACTAGAATTAGTTTCTGGCGCCAGACTAAATTTTAATTAACTTAACTCAAATTCACTCGTTTAATTAATTTAACTATCAGTTCACGCAGCCTGTTAACCCACGTCTCCTTTGAATAAGAAAGACAAGCAGGTCTTCAGAGTTGCAGTTTGGTAACACTGTTTACACTGTTTAATAATTCACCGCTGGCAAATGACATCATTTCTATTTACAGTTGGGATCAAAAGTTTTCTTTAAAGATGACATTTAAACAGTGAGTCGATTAATATCAACTGAATCAGATAGGGCATTTTTTTGCTGTTGTTTACAAATCATGATTGAAGCTTGGGGCAAGTGTCCCATGGCCCGAGCAAACCTTCCCTGGCACCCCCAATCCACCAGCTCCTTCAGGCACCTTCCCAGCTCCAGGTGGCCTCACGCTCAGCACAGTTTTGAACCACTTCCTGTGGACAGAAGCCTTCCCTGTGATGCTCTGTTCTCTAATTCTCGTGCAACAGTAAGGTACAAATCGATGGGTGTTTGTTGAAATGAATGAAATAAGAGGGAGGGAGGACTGTTTTGCTCTGGAAAAGGAACAAATAAAAGGAGGGAGGAGGACATGTTTGCTCTGAAAAGGAAAAAAAAATCTCAATTTGCCAAAGATTGCAAAATGTACTTTCACAGTAAATCCACAATGAGACATGCTTAGTAGACCAAAAAAATAATATGTTTGGGCATCTATTTTCTTTTCTTTTAAAATATTTCGTCGACGAAAGACTGTGTCCACTCAAGCCTTCCAGGGCAATGCTTGTCACTGCCCACGGTGCCGGTGAGACGCCCACAACTCTCTTCTCTTATAACAGGAAGTTTGCACACTATTAAACCTGAGAAACGGAAGGAGACTTTTAAATAGGTGTTACTTTGGGATTCTTATTTGGGTGAGGGCATGGGTGGTTTGCTGAGTGACAAGGGTGGAGTTTATCGCTGTGATGTGGAAAGTCCCCCCTGGCTGGAGGGACCTTACCTCAGCTGCTTCATGAATGGATTTATAGCCAGAGATCTGTCAGCTGCTGGGGCTCAGTACCTCTGCCCAGGTGCTGTCTTTATTCCTGAGAACTCGTGTCCAGTTACTGGTGTGCCGGGCAAAGCCATATGTCCCAAGTTGGGTTTATGAGGCCATATGTTCTGTTGGCAGAGCCAGGTGGGAGACACTGGTCACAGCCTGTCAGTCACCTTCAGCTGCTCACCTGGATATCCTGCTGTCATGGTGATCAGCTCTGGCTTACACGACCTTCTAAGAACAAGCCACCTGGTAGACGGTAGATGTCCCTTTTCCATTCCTTGAGTTTGTCCTGATCTGTCACTGGATTTGAATAAATTGAGCCTGTGTTCTCAGGTGAGGGAGATCCCCGTAAGCCTGGGGAAGACCTCACTAAAAACAGTGGTAGAGGGCTTGCCCAGTCAGCACGAGGTCTGGGCTCAATTCCCAGTGCTGCAAAACAAGGAAAATAAGTACAAACACCAAACAAAAATCCAGTTCACTTTCTCTGCTTGGCGCCTGATGGAGAGGTGAAGGCTGATGTGGCCCAGGGGCCGGGGGCTGCAGACCGCTCCCCCGAGGCTGCCCCGACCACCACATCCGGGGCACCAGAGCGTGGGTGGAACCCCTGCCTGTGGCATCCGTGTGGTGGTCTCCTCAGCTGGCCATGAGTGTACCGTGACTCTGGGTGCTTAAATTATGCATCTTTATCTAGGCTAGTAATTGAAACTGGGGTATTTTTAATAAATCTGTGGTCAGAGGCACGCTATTAAATACATCTGTCTTGCCACCCACCCACAAAATAGAGAAAGTAGTTTTTCATCGGTGCCATCTGGGAAAAGCGTGTCTTTACGGCTGCATTGCATGACTGAGTTGAGTGCCTCACGGGCAGCCCAAGTTGTGGGCGCTCCCTGTTTTGCACAGCTCCTGTACTGTGTGACAGGAGTTCTTTGGAAGAGAAGCTTGACTGGTGTTGTCATTTTTTTTTATTGTTTTATTATTCATATGTGCATACAAGGCTTGGGTCATTTCTCCCCCCTGCCCCCACTCCCTCCCTTACCACCCACTCCACCCCCTCCCTCTACCCCCCACCCCCTTGATACCCAGCAGAAACTATTTTGCCCTTATTTCTAATTTTGTTGTAGAGAGAGTATAAGCAGTAATAGGAAGGAACAAGGGGTTTTGCTGGTTGAGATAAGGATAGCTATGCAGGGCATTGACTCACATTGATTTCCTGTGCGTGGGTGTTACCTTCTAGGTTAATTCTTTTTGATCTAACCTTTTCTCTAGTTCCTGGTCCCCTTTTCCTATTGGCCTCAGTTGCTTTTAAGGTATCTGCTTTAGTTTCTCTGCTTAAGGGCAACAAATGCTAGCTAGTTTTTTAGGTGTCTTACCTATCCTCACCCCTCCCTTGTGTGCTCTCGCTTTTATCATGTGCTCAAGTCCAATCCCCTTGTTGTGTTTGCCCTTGATCTAATGTCCACATATGAGGGAGAACATACAATTTTTGGTCTTTTGGGCCAGGCTCACCTCATTCAGAATGATGTTCTCCAATTCCATCCATTTACCAGCGAATGATAACATTTCATTCTTCTTCATGGCTGCATAAAATTCCATTGTGTATAGATACCACATTTTCTTAATCCATTCGTCAGTGTGGGGCATCTTGGCTGTTTCCATAACTTGGCTATTGTGAATAGTGCCCAATAAACATGGGTGTGCAGGTGCCTCTGGAGTAACCTGTGTCACAGTCTTTTGGGTATATCCCCAAGAGTGGTATTGCTGGATCAAATGGTAGATCAATGGTTAGCTTTTTAAGTAGCCTCCAAATTTTTTCCAGAGTGGTTGTACTAGTTTACATTCCCACCACCAGTGTAAGAGGTTCCTTTTTCCCCACATCCTCGCCAACACCTGTTGATGGTGGTGTTGCTGATGATGGCTATTCTAACAGGGGTGAGGTGGAATCTTAGTGTGGTTTTAATTTGCATTTCCTTTATTGCTAGAGATGGTGAGCATTTTTTCATGTGTTTTTTGGCCATTTGAATTTCTTCTTTTGAGAAAGTTCTGTTTAGTTCACTTGCCCATTTCTTTATTGGTTCATTAGTTTTGGGAGAATTTAGTTTTTTAAGTTCCCTATATATTCTGGTTATCAGTCCTTTGTCTGATGTGTAGCTGGCAAATATTTTCTCCCACTCTGTGGGTGTTCTCTTCAGTTTAGAGACCATTTCTTTTGATGAACAGAAGCTTTTTAGTTTTATGAGGTCCCATTTATCTATGCTATCTCTTAGTTGCTGTGCTGCTGGGGTTCATTGAGAAAGTTCTTACCTATACCTACTAACTCCAGAGTATTTCCTACTCTTTCCTGTATCAACTTTAGAGTTTGGGTCTGATATTAAGATCCTTGATCCATTTGAGTTAATCTTGGTATAGGGTGATATACATGGATCTAGTTTCAGTTTTTTGCAGACTGCTAACCAGTTTTCCCAGCAGTTTTTGTTGAAGAGGCTGCTATTTCTCCATCGTATATTTTTAGCTCCTTTGTCAAAGACAAGTTGGTTATAGTTGTGTGGCTTCATATCTGGGTCCTCTATTCTGTTCCACTGGTCTTCATGTCTGTTTTTGTGCCAGTACCATGCTGTTTTTATTGTTATTGCTTTGTAATATAGTTTGAAGTCAGGTATTGTGATACCTCCTGCATTGTTCTTTTGACTGAGTATTGCCTTGGCTATTCGTGGCCTCTTGTGTTTCCATATAAATTTAACAGTAGATTTTTCAATCTCTTTAATGAATGTCATTGGAATTTTGATGGGAATTGCATTAAACATGTAGATTACTTTTGGGAGTATCGACATTTTTACTATGTTGATTCTACCAATCCATGAGCATGGGAGATCTCTCCACTTTCTATAGTCTTCCTCAATCTCTTTCTTCAGAAGTGTATAGTTTTCCTTGTAGAGGTCTTTCACATCTTTTGTTAGGTTTACACCTAGGTATTTGATTTTTTTGAGGCTATTGTAAATGGAATTGTTTTCATACATTCTTTTTCAGTTTGCTCATTGTTAGTGTATAGAAATGCTAATGATTTTTCTATGTTGATTTTATATCCTGCTACCTTGCTATAGCTATTGATGATGTCTAGAAGCTTCTGAGTAGAGTTTTTTGGGTCTTTAAGGTATAGGATCATGTCGTCTGCAAATAGGGATATTTTGACAGTTTCTTTACCTATTTGTATTCCTTTTATTCCTTCTTCTTGCCTAATTGCTCTGGCTAGGAATTCCAGTACTATGTTGAATAGGAGTGGAGATAGTGGGCATCCTTGTCTGGTTCCTGATTTTAGAGGGAATGGTTTCAGTTTTTCTCCGTTAAGTATAATGCTGGCTGTAGGTTTGTCATATATAGCTTTTATAATGTTGAGGTACTTTCCTTCTATTCCTAGTTTTCTTAGAGCTTTTATCATGAAATGGTGTTGGATCTTATCAAAGGCTTTTTCTGCATCTATTGAGATGATCAAGTGGTTTTTGTCTTTGCTTCTGTTAATGTGGTTTATTACGTTTATTGATTTTCGTATGTTGAACCACCCCTGCATCCCTGGGATGAAGCCTACTTGGTCGTGGTGAATAATCTTTTTGATGTGTTGTTGAATTCGGTTTGCCATTATTTTGTTGAGGATTTTTGCATCAATGTTCATTAAGGAGATTGGCCTATAGTTCTCCTTTTTGGAGGTGTCTTTGCCTGGTTTTGGGATAAGTGTAATACTGGCTTCATAAAATGTGTTTGGCAGTTTTCCTTCCCTTTCTATTTCATGGAACAGTTTAAGGAGGGTTGGTATCAGTTCTTCTTTAAAGGTCTGATAGAATTCAGCAGAGAATCCATCAGGTCCTGGACTTTTCTTTTTGGGGAGACTCTTGATTGCTGCTTCAATTTCATTTTGTGTTATAGTCTATTCAGGTGATTAATTTCCTCTTGGTTCAGTTTTGGATGATCATATGTATCTAGAAATCTGTCCATTTCTTTAAGATTTTCAAATTTATTTGAATATAGGTTCTCAAAGTAGTCTCTGATGATTTCCTGGACTTCCATGGTGTTTGTGTTATCTCCCCTTTTGCATTCCTGATTCTACTAATTTGGGTTTTTTCTCTCCTCATTTTAGTCAGGTTTGCCAGGGGTCTATCGATCTTGTTTATTTTTTCAAAGAACCAACTTTTTGTTTCATTAATTCTTTGTATGGTTTTTTTGGTTTCTATTTCATTGATTTCAGCTCTTATTTTTATTATTTCTCTCCTTCTATTTGTTTTGGGATTTGCTTGTTCTTGTTTTTCTAGGAGTTTGAGATGTATCATTAGGTCATTGATTTGGGATCTTTCAGTCTTTTTAATATATGCACTCATGGCTATAAACTTTCCTCTCAGGACTGCCTTAGCTGTGTCCCATAGGTTCGGTAGGTTGTGTTTTCATTTTCATTGACTTCCAGGAACTTTTTAATTTCCTCTTTTATTTCATCGATGATCCATTCTTCATTAAGTAATGAGTTATTTAGTTTCCAGCTGTTTGCATGTTTTTTGTCTTTACTTTTGTTGTTGAGTTCTACTTTTACTGCATTGTGATCAGATAGTATGCACGGTATAATTTCTATTTTCTTATATTTGCTGAGGCTTGCTTTGTGCCCTAGGATATGATCTATTTTGGAGAAGGTTCCATGGGCTGCTGAAAAGAATGTATATTGTGTAGAGTTGGATGAAATGTTCTGTAGACATCAAGTAGGTCCATTTGATCTATTGCATATTTTAGATCTTGGATTTCTTTATTGATTTTTTGTTTGGATGACCTATCTATTGATGATAATGGAGTGTTAAAGTCTCCCACAACCACTGTGTTGGTGTTAATATATGCTTTTAGGTCTTTCAGGGTATGTTTGATGAAATTGGGTGCGTTGACATTGGGTGCATACAGGTTGATGATTATTATTTCCTTTTGGTCTATTTCCCCTTTTATTAGTATGGAATGTCCTTCTTTATCTCGTTTGATCAATGTAGGTTTGAAGTCTACTTTGTCAGAGATAAGTATTGCTACTCCTGCCTGTTTTGGGGGCCATTGGCTTGGTAAATCTTCCAGCCTTTCATCCTAAGCCTATGCTTATTTCTGTCAGTGAGATGGTCTCCTGTAAGCAACAAATTGTTGGATCTTCCTTTTAATCCATTTCATCAAGCGGTGCCTTTTGATGGGTGAATTAAGTCCATTAACATTAAGTTAGTACTGATAGGTATGTGGTGATTCCTGTCATTTAGTTGTCTTAGTTGTTTGAAGGTTTGATTGTGTGTACCTAAGTTGAGTTACTCTCTACTGTCTTGCTTTTTCTTTCCTGTGGTTTGGTGCTGCCTGCTTTTCATGGTTAAGTTGGGTTTCACTTTCTGTGTGCAGAATCCCTTGCAGAATCTTTTGTAGTGGTGGCTTTGTGGTCACATATTGTTTTAGTTTCTGCTTATCATGGAAGACTTTTATTGCTCCATCTATTTTGAATGATAGTTTTGCTGGGTAGAGTATCCTGGGGTTGAAGTTATTTTCATTCAGTGCCGGAAGATCTCACCCCACGCTCTTCTTGCTTTTAATGTTTCTGTTGAGAAGTCTGCTGTGATTTTGATGGGTTTACCTTTGTATGTTACTTGTTTTTTCTCTCTTACAGCCTTCAATATTCTTTCCTTAGTTTCTGAACTTGTTGTTTTAATGATGATATGTCGTGGGGTAGTTCTATTTTGATCTGGTCTGTTTGGTGTCCTGGAGGCCTCTTGCATCTGTATGGGAATATCTTTTTCTAGATTTGGGAAATTTTCCTTATTATTTTGTTGAATATATTACGCATTCCCTTGCTTGCACCTCTTCTCTTCGATGCCCATGATTCTCAAGTTTGGTCTTTTGATGGAGTCGGTGAGTTCTTGCATTTTCTTTTCACAGGTCTTGAGTTGTTTAATTAATAGTTCTTCGTTTTTCCTTTAATTACCATTTCATCTTCAAGTTCTGAGATTCTGTCTTCTGTTTGTTCTATTCTGCTGGATTGGCCTTCCGTTTTGTTTTGCAGTTCTGTTTCGTTCTTTTTTCTGAGGTTTTCCATATCCTGGTGTTTCCTCTTTAATGTTGTCTATTTTTGTCCTGAGTTCATTTATCCATTTATTCATTGTGTTCTCTCTTTCACTTTGGTGTTTATACAGTGCTTCTATGGTTTCCTTTATTTCTTCTTTTGCTTTTTCAAATTCTCTATTTTTGTTGTCTTGGAATTTCTTGAGTGTCTCCTGTACATTTTGGTTGACCCTATCCAGTATCATCTCTATAAAATTCTCATTGAGTACTGTAGTATGTCTTCTTTTAAATTATTCTTGTGGGCTTCATTGGGTCCTTTGGCATAGTTTATCTTCATTTTGTTGGAGTCTGGATCTGAGTCTGTTTTCTTCATTCCCTCTGGTTCCTGTACTAATTTTTTGCTGTGGGAAACTGGTTTCCCTGTTTTTTCTGTCTTCCCGTCATTGCCTTGGTGTTGTTACTGTCCCTGTACTGTGTGCAATTAAGTATTTTCTAGCTTGTAATAATAACAATGGTAATATTTAGAATGGAAGGGTGAGGAGATGGAAAGCAAGAAGTTAAAGAAAAGGGAAAAACAAATAACAGACAAGAGGAAAAAAAAAACAAGGAATCAACAAAAAGTTTCAAAGGTATAAACAGGGAGTTAGTGTACTAATGACAGTAAGCTGAACAGCATTAGAGAGACAGAGAGAGGATTGAAATTGAAAAATAAAAAAATAAAGATAAGAATAAAAATAAAAAATAAGTAAATGAAAGAAATATATATATAAATAAAATAAAACAAAATGAAAAATAGAAAAAAAAAAAAACCTCCAAGTTCAAATGCAATGAAGTTTCAGTCTTAATAATTTGGTGTCCGTCTCAGCCTCCAATCCTGGAGATGGTGCCTCAGATGTTGTTCTGTAGTTGTCTCATCAAAGGGGACGCATAAAGTAGAACAAAACTGCACACACACACACAAAAACAAACCCACAAAGTGTCCCAAGTTCAAATGCAGTAGAGTTTCAGTAAGTTTTTCAGCATGCAGGTGTAGTTCGGTTGTTCTCTCATCAAGGGTAGGGAGAGAGAAAAAAAAAGAGTCTGGAGACAGTTCTGAGAATGGTATCTGCAGCTGTGGCTTGTCTGTCCGCTGCTGTCAGCCTGCTGTTGCTGGAGGTGTTATTTATGCAGATCTCTGGGGTGAGCTTAGCACTCACCTGGCCCCGCAGGCTTCGTTTGCTCAGAGTTCTCCTGTGTTCGAGCCTCTGCTACAGGCTTTCCCCTTTCCAAGCACTGGGAAAGGTGACACTGCACCCGTTTTCTCAGGCCTGCATGTTTATTTACAGCTCACGTGGGAAGTGGGTCTTCCCCCCTCTCTTGTGGGGTTTTCTTCCCTCCGCCACTCTCACAAGCTTTCCTGCTCCTGGTTGCTGGGCGCAGGCCCCTGCTCCCGCCCTCCCCAGCCAGGCCCGGCTTGTTTATTTACAGTTCTGGGGAGGATTCCCCCCCCCACCCCGCCTTAGGCACTCAGTGTGCCCCACCCTCTTTCCCACGTGTCTTTTATTGTTCTTATTGCTTATTACTCAGTTTCTCTTTTTTCCCTGGGTGGAGGTCGGTCTGTCCGGGGGCTATGCTGATCTGGCCCAGGGTTGTCTGTGGGAGTACCGCGGTACCGCTAAGCTCACCTTGTCTGCATCTTCCCAAGCCGTCTGGGGGCAGGCAACTGGTGGCCCAGGGGCCCTCCTGGTTTCTCCGTTTAACGTGAAATGGAGATTCTCTGTGCCGGCTGGAGGTGTGGAGGGGTCAAAGTTTTGCCTCTTCTCAGTGGTTTTGCCTGCAAGGTGTGTCTCCAGCATCTCTCCAAGGTTTCACTTTAGGAGGCTCGCTTTCTGCCTCCTCCCTCTAGCCGCCATCTTGGAATTCTCCCTGGCGTTGTCATTGAAAGATGCTGCCAGCTGCTGGATCTCAAAGTTGGCACAGTACCAAGCACTCTCTTAAGCTTAAAAGGTGCAATTTCGTTAAACCTTTGGCTTTGTCCACCCTCCCCCTATCTGCACAGGCTCTACCTGGTCACAAAGGGCACAGTGACTACAGTTTACAACAAGGGGTCCACCTCCTGATAGACCAGGCTGACTGTCAGGTGTGTGTGTGTGTGTGTGTGTTTTAGACTGGCTGGTATTTTTAGAAATTTCAGTGTCTCTTTCTGGCACATACACACCCCACACTCACCTGCCTTGTCACTTCCTCTCCTACGACACTGACTGATGGACAGAAGTTCGTATACAGGTTTTCTGATCACTCAGCCACCTGGGGAGGAGCCTTTATCTGGATAGTGAGGTGCAGAGACCAACAAGTGGCCTCTTGCACCACAAGAGGCCCATAAGAGGAGCATATCACTGTGTGTCTTTTCAGCAGTGGTGATAAGAACCAGCAATGGGTCCTCTGTCTTGACCAGCAGGGACACCTGTGCTGACCCTTTCTCTGCTATGGCTCACACAAGTCTGTCCTATGCCTAGCCTCATTTTCTTCTCCTAAAAGGTGAGGAGTAGGTGCCCAGGACTAGTGGGCTCCATGCATTGGCAAACGAGACAGGACCCAGTAAGGATGCCCTGGGAGCCTCTGGCATACAGGAGGAACTGGTGGGATAGAAGGGTTGTCCTATCCTTGTTCCCCTTCCTCTCTGCAGCACCACTGTTGCCATGGAGAAGAGTACCACACAGAGAGCAGCCGGGGATCCGACCTCTCGGACATCATGGAGGAGGATGAGGAGGAGCTGTACTCAGAAATGCAGCCGGAGGATGGGGGCAGGCGACGGCCCAGTGGCACCTCCCACAGTGCCCTCAAGGTGAGTGCTGTGCACAGGGGCATCAGTGCCCTCACAGATCCCTGGAGCAGCTCCATCCTGTCCCTTTCTTGGGGCCAGCTCCACAGTTGCATTTGCATTTGGGAGTTAGGTAGGTCCTGTTTGGGTGCTGGAGTTTGGGGGTGCACCTGGCACTCCCAGGGGGACCCCCACACACTGTAGCAGGAATTAAATTGAAAGGAATAGTGCAAGCTCAGCCTTCTGGGCTCATCCACAGAGAAAAGTGGCTGAGAGCAGGACCAGTCTTGAGGATAGAAACAGAATTGGAAGAACAGGGGTGGAGCTCCTTATGGGGCAGAATTCAGGTGTGACCTGTGTGCAGTGTGGGGCGAGGGAGGACAGAAGCCAACCAGGTGAAGTCAGAGGAAGGCTAGGCACAGAGGGATGGGTTCTTGAGGTCTGTCACACAAGTCTCCAAGGACAGGCTGGAGGTTCCACTAGGAGGAGCACAGACACCTCCCACCAGAGACCCGAGACCCTCTCTTCCACCTCTGGAAGTGCCCTGGCTGAAGGAGAGTCTCCCTGAGGTGCCCTGAAGCTGAGCAGGGGTGTCCTCCCTGTCCTGCCTTGGGAAATGTTCACCGCTGCTGCTGCTGCTAGGCGATGTGTCCAGCTCATGGTTGATTCTGTCCACTGAGCAGTGGAATTGATGGTCTCTATGTACCAGGCCAGGGCTGCAGGGAAGGGTGTGGCAGTTTCCGTTCCAGTGGAAAGGCCTGGCAGCTGGCAGGACCTCGGTGGGTTTTCAGGATGAAAGGCTTTGGCACGCCCCCAGCGTCCATTCCTCTAGGCATGCAGCTATGCATTTCAAATGGTGGACAGAAGACAATGTCTACATCTGGCTATTGACCAGGGCCTACACATAGACACCTGACTTATATTCTCCTAGCAAAGACCCCTGATGGGCCCTCAGAGGCTTGGTTGCCGCCTGTGCCGTCCTTCTGGTCCCATTCTCATCTCTCCAGCTCTCAGGTGTTACCTAGAGTGGGATTCACACTAACCTCTCCTGAATGGCCCCCCACGATGCACCAGCCTGTCTCCAGAGCAAGAGCTTCCCAAAAGTGCTCATGAGGAAGACTTCCTGTCTTTTCCACCCTTCAGTGCTTCTCCTCTGGATAGAGGAAGGTGCTGGAAGGCTGCCTCCCGAGAACTGCTCAGCAGAAAGATAGGAAGTCACCTTCTGTCCTTGGGAGGAAGCCCAGAGGGCGAACAAGGTCATCATAAAGCCATGGAGTCGAGCCTCACCCAATTCCTCACCCTCTTAGAAAGTGCAGGACAGGGTGGCACACAGTAGGAGTGCCAGGGAGGTAGCAGAAACACCCTGCTTGCCCACTCAGTGTTCTTACAGCTTTTGAAAAGCTGAAGGTTTACAGGCTGGCCTGAGTCTCCAAACTTTCTCTAGCAATCAGAGCACTCTGTATGGTGATCTGGCTACCCTAGGCTCACTGTCCCATTTAGCAATGTCTGGCTGTAGCCAGCCAGGTGACAGGATCAGGACACATGTTTGTGGCCCCCCACCTCCAGGCCCAGCTCACTCATCAGGGTACCTGCCTGTCCTGGGAAACACCTGTGTTACTCTCCCTGTGCTGTGATGGTGACTCTTTCTTGGCCGTCCTTCTTTACCCCCACATAGCTCAACATTATTAAGAATAAGCTTCCTAGAATGTGGCACTAGCAGAGAGAGCGAGAGAGAGAGAGATACACGAACCAGCAAGGCCGCGCCCATTCACTTCCACACCTGGTGCGTCCTAAGCATGCTGGAGACTTCGCGCTAGGAAAATCCCACAGGGTCTTGGGGAGCCTGCACTGGGATAAAGGTGGCTTTCCTACAGAGTCAGCCCAGCGCCCCCAAAGGAGAGATGGCTGGGAGTGTCGTTCAGCACGAGAACACATTTCTCAGACAGAGGATGAGGTGGAGTGGTGCTTCCGGCAGAGATAACATACACGGAAAGACACACAGACGGGTCTGAATCCAGGAACCTTAGCAAGTAGCCCCTCGAGGACAGCCAGCTCCATGCCAGGTGCTGAGGCCCGGTGGTTGAGACAGGGTACAGGCAGAGGTAGATGACCTTGGTCCTCTGCAGACAGTGACTGGCACCATTCTCAGAGTCACAGAATGGCATGAAGGATGAGATGATTCGTGCAGCAGATGCATTGGAGAGAGAGAAGGTAGAAGTGACATGTCAGCCAAATAAGAAAGGAGGACTTGCTAGGGTGCTGTGTGCTCAGGAGGAGTTGCAGTCCCCAGAACAGACAGGAGCAGTTGAGGCACTGTTTGCTGAGCTGTCCCTGGGCACGCTTAGCATCCAGTGGCAGCTGTCCCCCAGTTTGCAAAGGCCCAGTGTAGGCAGTGGACACAGATCTCCCCTCCCTGGGCACGGCCACTGCATAGGGCCAGGCATGGACCTGGGATACCCTGTCCCCACTCCCCAGGTCTGGGCCACCACTTTCCCCTTGGTTCACCCGCATGGCATCTGTCTGCTAGTAATGGCCCTGCTGGCTGCCCGATGTGCTGTCCTCTGCCTTAGCTCGGCACCACCGTGTGACCCATTTGCTCCATTCCAGACCTCTGCACCCCCCCGCCCCCCAGTTGCAGAAGCCTGCTCTGCCCCTGCCTTGCCGTCCAGACTAATTCTGTGTGTGTTTTCTCTCCTTCCTCCACCTGCCCGCCTGCCCCATGTCTGGTCACACACTGCTGTCATGCACCCTTGCCCTTAAGGAGTGCTATAAGACTAGGAGCCTGGAAGGCAGTTTCTCGGAGCCACCTGAGTTCCCCCAGCAGCCCCATCGCAGTAAGACACTGTTCAGTATCCCCGAGGTGGCAGAGGAGGACGCAGAGCACTGTGAGCTGCTGCTCAGGCAGGGCTCAGGGGCCTCCAGAGCCAGGGCTTTGCTGGATATGGGGCCCGGGTCTGCCCGGCCCTGCTGGGGGCACCCATTGCCACAGGACTCCTGGCTGCCTGTCCAGCACAGGGGGTCAGCAGCCACATACATGGAGGACCTCCTTCTGGAAGACAGAGGCTGTAGGTTCAGCCGTTTGGCCACCAGGAGCCCAGACAGTGGTCTGGACTGTGGCAGTGAGGAGGAAGAGGCACCGTTTAGTTTCAGGAGCACCATGGCCAAGTGCAGCCCAGGCCCCGGTCACTGTCCCTGTAGGAGAAGCCCGAGGCCTCTGCTGGCCCGGCGATGGACTCTGACCCGACAGAGCAGCATTGAAGAGGACTTTGGGGAGCAGGTGGACCCCACTGACGTCATCAGGATCGATGACACCCAATCCAGCCCGGAGAGGCCCCTGCCCAGGAGGTATGGCGGGGATGAGGTCACCACCGACCATGAAGATACTCAGAGTGTCTGGAGGAAAAGTCCAGCCATGCCCGACAGTAGGGCAGCTGACCACCACGCACAGCCTCCTCCCAGAGTTGCAGACGGCCCCGTGGTGTGTGAAGTAAAGCCCTCTCCACCTGTGCTTGCCAAACCAATCCGTGTTCACCCTTCTGTTGGTTTTGCCTTGGTTCCGAATTTTTTTGGCATCCATCCTGGGGAATCTCTCGGCCGGCTGTCTTTGGTTTCCCTGCACTTTTGATTTATTAAGTCCATCGCTTCCTGATCGCTTGGCCATGCAGAAGGTTTCTTTTCTTTGCTTTAGAGTAATGATTTCTCCCATGGAATCAGTAATGATCACGGCTGTCTAAAGGACAACTGAATCAGTTTTAATTAAGGGTTAGCTGAACTGTGATTATCCAAAATGATTGCGGTATTATTGAAGGTTTTTTATTTTTTAATTCCTTTTTCGTTTGGGGGTTTTAGTTGGTTTTTGGCCTCCGTCCATAATTTTTTTTAAGTAGGGAATAATTATTGCAGGAACTCATTGTCGCATATTGTTCCAAGGGTTTTGTTTTGTTGTTTTGTTTTTGTTCCCCTCCCCGTTTTTTCCCTCGTCCACCAGTTTCCAGGATAAATTTCCCACTGTTAGTCATAGACACAGTCCCTTGCCTTGGGGACTGGAGTTGTTGGTGGGGGTCCATCCAGGGCTTCACTCATCTCTGTATAGTGTCCTCTGGTCCGAGCATTGACTCCCACCATGCTGAGTGTGTCATTGGGTGCACAGCTGGGCCATCAGCACGGCGCCAGGCCTGGTCTGAGAGTGCCCCCTTTGCCACTTGTCCACGCCAGGTGCCACCATGCCCCATGGCTGCCCAGTCTCACCATCGCCACAGGTACACCTTCCCCTGCTCCTGCGTCCCTGCACGGCCTCAGTCAACCTGCTTGCTAGTAAGCTGCAGGCTTTGCTGTGATTGTCCTTAACCAGTTCTGACCTCTAGACCAAACAAGAGGTGGACATCCCCAGAAAGGGGACCCATCAGATCGCCAACAGTTATGAAGGCTGGTGACACGCAGGAGCAATCCTCCCTGAGTTTTCAGACATCTCACATGACTTCTGTCTGCCAAGTAGGACATTGAAAACTGTCACGCCTTCCTCACTGTGACAGCCGGGGGCAGGGCGCATTGAGCCGGGCGAGGGCTAGCATTCACAGAGGCGAAAGGTACCCTGAGCCATACTTAAACCACGGTCACCTGGGTCTGAAGTATTTGGCCTCAGCAGCAGTAGCCACAATGAAAAGATCCTCCTGTATACTCATTTTTGCACCCACCCACCTGCAGCGTGTCCAAACGCAACCCTGATGTAGAAAAGGGGCCAGGGGACCAGCGTGTTTCTCTCCCGGGTCATTCAGCTAACCTTTCAGTTAAAAGCTAAGTTTAGTTGCCTTTAGAGCTTTCGCTTCCAATCGGGATTGATTTGGCTAACTTATTCTTTCCTTCCCAAGGATGGAGAGGCTGTGACCATCGTTGTTCTGTCTCTAGATTTTAGGAAACACAGTGTTGGCGGGACGGGCTGATCACGGGGGCCGGAGGAGTTCCCACGGCAGCACTGGTCCTCAGAGGCCCCGGCCGACGATCGGTTAGTGGCCTGCTTAATATCTTTCTTGTTCTTTCCAACACAGAGTGTGTGGCTGTCTTTGATCCAAACACTAAAAAAAGTGGGAATAGCATTTTCAATAAGTAGAGAGAAGTCTGGATTATTTATGGCAAAAAGAAGGCGGGCACAGCACAGCAAGACACCAGGTCTATTTGTTAGGGTTCCCCAGGCATCTACTGGCCTTGTGGTTACACACATCTCTGCCGATTTTTGGCCCACAGCTTTCCCAGCTTCACCTCAAAGGGACTGAGAGTGCCAGCACTCAAGGTGCTCAGGGTCCAAGCCTGAGAGGTGGCAGAAGTTGGGGGGTGCACCCCAAATAGTCAGGTAAGCCCTGAGTGGAGGAGAGCTGCCTGTGTGGGCAGCCGGGCACAAGGTCTGGACACACTGGGAGGCTGAATGCCCCGTCCTCCCTTACCACACCCCGTAGCACGCACTCCATTCTCACAAGTACCTTTGGGATTCGGCCGGTGGTTCTGAACACTTGTCAAGCGGTCATTGTCATCAGTCTGCTGTGGTGGGGGTGGCTGAGGTCAGATGGTATTGTGTGTGAAGTCATGGAGTCACAGTTCCAAGAAGTATCATGACAAGAGGACCCTGGAATCAGCCCAAGTGAGCCAGGATTTTGTGAAAACATGCACACATAAGTGTACACACAGCACACACACAGTACACACACATCACATGCACACATCTACGCAGTGCACACACACACCAGAGTGCACATGGTACATACACACATCACATCCGTACAGTGCACACAGTGCATACACACATATCCGCACATCTACACAGTGCACACACAGCACACACACAGTACACACACATCACATGCACACATCTACACAGTGCACACACACACCAGAGTGCCCATGGTATACACACACATGTCATATCCATACAGTGCACACACAGTGCACACAGTGCATACACACATATCCGCACATCTACACAGTGCACACACAGCACACACACAGTACACACACATCACATGCACACATCTACACAGTGCACACACATCACATCCACACTCAGGATGAGGAAGTCCTGAATGGATCCTCTGAAGTCAGCCCTTCTAGACTTTTCTTCTTCACGTGAACCACAGAGGAAAAGTTACCATTTTTATGAGACTTCTGTTTCTATCAGTAAAAATGTCATGAAATGTTAAAGATCCTCGAAAGAAAAACAACATTTTCACTTAACTGAAAAACAGAAGACACTCAATCGGGCCCAGAGACCAGCGGTTTTAGCCGTCAGTGGCTGGGGGGGGCTGCGTGTGTGCTGAGCCCGATGCCTTCCAGGGCTCAACCACAGTGAGCTCCCCCTGACAACGCTGGGCTCAAGTGCATCCTTCAAGGTCAAATCCACGACCTGTCTGTTGGCTTCCTGTGCTGAGGTACGAGGTGCGAGAGGCCCATCCTGTTCCGGGCTCAGCTCCGTTCCAAGTATCCACTTGCTTGTAAGAGGAGTGAGTGACGGTGACAGGCCACAGCTCTGCCTGCGAGCTGATCCGGGATGGCCAAGCAGGTGCCCCCGTTAATGCTCTGGGCGGTTACATGTCCTTTGGAAGAGGCGTGGTTGAATCTTCTATTCCAGTCTCTTAGGACCAAGAACTGAAACTTGTTCTGTGACAAATGACCAGCTGAGAGAGTAAAGGGAAAAACATCCCTGTTTGTCAGGGAGTCACTCCCTGAGAGGTTTAGACACCCTTCGGGGCCTTGCCAGGGCTGGCTGGACTTTTCTTTAGGTGGAAATTTCAAAAGGCTGCCTATGTCTTAATGGTAACAAGACACTTTTTAGATTGGTCCCAAAGAGAGGAATTCTGTGTCAACACCATCACAAAGAAAAAGCATCTTAACGATGTACTCAGAAAAGATTAGCCCATAAATCCACGGTAATTAATTGTTCTTAGTCTCATCTTGGAGCAGCCCAAAAAAAACAGAAGAAAGCATAGTTTACACCACGCCCTTTCCACGCATGTGCATTTATGTGTGTGCGCCCACGGAAGCTTCAGAGGAGCGTGCTTGTCACCTGCCAAGTGGAAGAGTGAGGTGAAGGGGCCCAGGAGTGAGTGGTGGGTGACGTGTGACCACTGGTCAGACAGCATCGTCCTCTGTCCTTACTGAGTTCCACTTTCCTATGAGGACATCTATCCTGCAAAAGACCAAATCCCCTTTTCAGAGGCAGTTAGGTCTGTGCACTACAGGCTCTCTATGTATACATTTTTAATAAGCAAGGGATCTACAGTTAAGTAGAAATACTGTAACTTTGGATATCCTCTGGTTTCCAAAATTAAAAAAAGGTAAACAGTGATCTTCATGATTTAAAGGCAGCATTATGTAGCCCCATGTCTGATTGCTCTGAAGCCATTTAAGTGGCAGAAAGGGGGTCCTCACCGTTGAGCATGGGCCCCCTGCATAGATTCTGTTCTTCGCATGGGTCTGGTTCATCTACCTGTGAGACGGAAGGCCTGAGGCGTCATGGTTGAGCACTGACCTGTTTTCAAGAATTGACTCAGTCTCTCCTCCCTCTTCTACCACTGTCCTGGTCATTTACCTGCTGGGCCTCAGGGCAAGAAAGTGTGGCTCTTTCCATCTGTGTCCAGAGAGGAGATTGCAAAGATGCATCACTACATCAACAAAGTTCAGCCCTTTAAACACGGAGAGCCCTGCCGTACAAGAAACAGGGACACTGTAGAAGACATTTTCTGGTTAACCCCCTTTCTCTGTGAAGACCTCACAGGGATGGCGACAGTGACGGTGGCTGGTGTCAGGCAGGTAGTGAGGAAGTTGTGTTTCCCATGGAAGACAGTGCTTATTCTCTTGGGGGCTGGCCGGTCTCTGAGTCACTAGCCAGACCACACGTGCACAGTCACCCGACTCAGACCCCTGTCTTAGACCCCCAGCTCCTGGCCTAGGATGACCCCAGCAGGGCAGTGCAATGTCCACTCCCTCCAGGGCCAGACGTGCAGGGTGTCCCTCAGTGGAGCCACCAAGAAAAACAAAGCCTCCCAGTTGCTTACTGCATTCCCAGAGGGACCAGATCCTACACTTGCCATGGAGGCCACCATTCTCCCACACAGGGCAGCTGTCACACCACGTCCGGCACTCCCTCTCTGGGGAAGGTACACTGTGGCCATTTCATACTGATGGCTTTATTTCAATTGCAAGGGCTTGACCCATCTCTGTCCTCCCATCCCCTTGCCTCCCTAAAGCACCCATGAGTGACTGTCACAGCATGGGCTGTCCTGCCCACCCCAGAAGGAACCTTGCTGGAAGACGGCAGGGTCTCTTTGCTGGCTTTGGTGTCCAGGTGCTCCTTACGGTGCAGCCACCCCGGGCTGTGGATGGTGTGGCTTTGCGCCCACAGACATTAAGGGGTGACTTGTCTTGTACCACGCTCAGCGTGAGAAGCAGCTGTGTACCTGTGTGCGAGGGATTTTCACAGGCGGCTGACTGGCTCCACACCAGCTTTGTCCCATCTTTAGGTGACATTTGAAGTCAGATGAAAAGAATCATCAGGTATCATCGTGGACTGTCAACAACGTCGAAGCCACTGTGAAGCAACAAAGAAAGCCTTCCATTTGAAAAGTAAAATCACGACACAACAAAGCGAAAAGTCACACCAAAATCTGGATTACCTAGACAACAGCGACAAAAGCTACATTACCTTGGTCCCTGGAAGGATCCCGCGTTTAAACTGTGTAAACCGGTCACTGCGTTTTAGAAGGAAGGCTCCCCTGCAGCTAATAAGGGCGTTTTATTCTTCTACCAATTTTCTTGCTGGTGAAGGAGGCCAAATTGTTTGCTCCTTCCTGACGACCTGCCCTGTCCTCTTCCGCACACCTGTGTTCTCCCCGTCCCGACACCTGTCACATGCTAGGAACAGCGCTTGGGCTGGACTTCCCCTGTCATCCTCCCGCCCTGCCGCTGGGGTTCTGAGACCCTCTTACACAGTCAGGAGAACATCATTCCCCAGAGCCTCCGTCTCCCTGTCTGTCTGTCTGTCTCTCTATAGAAACATAAACACGCCCACACATCTGCAGGTTCCACAACCAATTGCAGATAGAAAATACTTGAAAAAAATTACACCTGGGCTGTCTTTCTTGCCACAGTCCCCTGGAATGAGTATTTCTACAGGACTGACGTTTAGTTAGACAATGTAAGTCACCCAGGGATGGTTTGAAGCAAGAGGAGGGTTGGGTAGGTTCGAGGCGACACAAGACCATTTCACTGAAGGAGCTGAGTGTCCTGGGTTTTGCCTGGGGGCTTCTGGAGCCCGTCCCTGCACGTGAAGTGGGAGGACTGCACGCCTGACGTGTAGTGATCCATGTGAACCGGTCTGCATGTACATCAGGATTTCAAAAAGAATCACTTTTAGAAGCTGGGTGGTGGGCAGAGTGGAAGCCCGCTTTTGCCGGGCAGTCATCGATTGAGTGCCGTGAAGAGTGTTTGTTGCTGGTTAAATACTCAGAGCTAAGTCGTCAGCTCAGTCAGCTACCCTGAACTTGGACTAAGACAAGCATGCGTTTTGGACACCCACGTGCCTGTGCCGTATGCTCTCTGGAGCATGGAGGGTCCCCGGGGAGGGGAGCCAGGGCGTCCCGTGGGGGTCACACGCTGACACTTGCGGGCCTCGCGCACCTGCGGTGGCCGAGCCACGGACAGGAAGTGCCGTATGCTCTCTGCTTTCCACGCGCAGTGCGGCTGGGCTCCGAGTGAGGTCATGTTCTGAAATAGTTACCTGCTTCTGCGGCCCATGCTAAGCCCAGAGGGAGACAGACAGACAGCCAGCCAGCCAGAGACAGAGAGTTTATGACCATGGTCACCTTCATCCTTTCCACAGCCACATTTCGAGGGTGACCGTGTGCCCTTGCATGAGGTCACCTGGCCTTGGGTTTTGCCCCCATTTGTTCCCAGACGACTATGTCCGGCAAGACCGCCTCTCTCCAGATTTCTACGAAGAGTCGGAGACCGACCCCGGCACCGAGGAGCTCCCGGCACGCATCTTCGTGGCTCTGTTTGACTACGACCCACTCACCATGTCCCCGAACCCCGACGCAGCTGAAGAGGAGCTCCCCTTCAAAGAAGGACAGATCATCAAGGTGAGCCCGGCGCCAGGCCACATCAGCGCTGGACGTGGGGTGAGATGGGGTCAAATGACAGCTCTGAGAGGGCTGCCCAGCTCCCCCCACACCACAGTGGCAGCAGCTGTGGGGGCCATCAGAGGAGATGGCTCAGCATGGTGACAGCCTCACACCTGGGGCAGAACCTGCTTCCACGTCACCGGGAAGGGTACACCTTCACCTGCCAGTCTTACAGGATCGTGACCAGCAGGTCCTATCAGGTGTCTGCTGCTCAGACTCTGAATTTTAAAAGAAGACTGTAACCGGGCTGACAGGTGGGAAGGAAAAGGGAGGAAGCAGGAGGAAAGCAAGGAAGGGAGGGGAAACTGGCCACGAGTCAGTCATAGTGACAGGGGCCCACACACAGTCACAGCATGCATGAGGATGCTTTGTGCAGGTGACTTAATAGGACTTTATAGATGTATTTTAGTTTAAAGGTTTTTTGCTGGTCGTGGTGGTGGGGTTTTTTTTTTTTTTTTTTTTTTTGCTGTACTGGGGCTTGAACTCAGGGCCTTCACCTCGAGCCACTCCACCAGCCCAATCTTTTGTGATGGGTTTTTCTGTGATAGGGTCTTCTGAACTATTTGCCTGAGCTGGCTTTGAACTGTGATCCTCCTGATCTCTGCCTCCTGAGTAGCTGGGATGACAGGCGTCAGCCACCGGCACCTGACTTAAAGGTGTTTTTGACTGTACCTGACTGCTGCAAGTGGGGCTGATGTATTTCTGAACCAGCCAGTCACAATGCTTTGGTTTTTCCCGTGACTCCAGGTCTATGGGGATAAAGATGCAGACGGGTTCTACCGAGGGGAGACCTGCACCCGTCTCGGCCTCATTCCTTGTAACATGGTCTCTGAGATCCAAGCGGACGACGAGGAGATGATGGATCAGCTACTGAGACAAGGCTTTCTCCCTCTGAACACACCTGTGGAGAAAATAGGTGAGTGCAGTCCCTGCCCAGCACAAAACAGTGGGGTCTCAGAGTTGGGAGTAGGGGACAAGGCAAATCAGGGCTGCAAAAGCCCCGGAGGGTCACATGTGTACCCCAGTATTTGTGAAGCACAGATAATATGATGGGAGATGAAGTGCAGCCTTGTCTGCTAAACGCCTTTCATGCCTAGACACCTACAAAACAAATGACCACCTGTCTTTTCGCTCTGTGTGTCACACATCAGTCTGTCCACAGTGAATTTTCAAGGGTGACAGGCAGGGCTGTGCTTCTTCCAGGGCAGTTTTGTGCATCCACTATACTCCTTCATTTATCTCGAGTCAGTCTGCAAACACCAGCTAGAAAATGGCTAATGGATTGTCACAGGGTCAAAGCAACGTTACCAGCCAGGTGTGGTGGCGCTCACCTGTAATCCCAGCTGCTCAGTAGGTGGAGGCAGGAGGCAGCCAGCCCAGGCAAAGGTAGCAAGACCCTGGCTCAGTAAAAATTTAAAAAAGGGATCTGAGAGTCCAGCTGAAGTGGGAGGGTATTTGCCTCTCATATTTGAGGCCCTGGTTTTAATTCTCGATATTGGTGAAAAAAAGCAACATTACCTTTATTTTTTCCCATGTGCAAGGAAAATCTAGTTATAAAAAGTCCCTCCTTTTTCTACTCAGCTGTAGGAAGATCCATTCTATCTCATTCATATGAAGGGTTTAATACTCAAAAACATTAGATTAACTTCTAAACCAAAGACAAACTCTATGGCTCAAAGAATATGGGTACTTTTAAAGATAATCACAAAATTAAAAAAAAAATTTCGACCTTTTCTGGTCTTAATGAGCTCAATGCAAAATGAAGGCCACACCTGCTGTTTGAGGTCAGTGTGAATATTCTGTCCTTCAATGAGGCCGGGAGTTTCTGTGTCCCTCGTGGTTGTGGTCTCCTTTCCTGAAGTAGCCATGAGGATTTCAAAGACAGGCACGGCTCTGTCACCCACCCCGTGATGTCTACAAGGCATGCCGTGCAGGAGCAGGGCTCACTCTGTGTGACCAAGGGGATAAGATGCCTTTCGTTCTGTTGTCAGAGGAACCAGGCTTAGGTTGTGACTTGTCCTATGGTGATGTCACTGGGAAGGTCATCCTCAAAGCTGACAGGCCGAACGCTGACATTGTAGCTACGGGGAAAAGCGTCTGTGAAAGTGTTCTGCCCTGAGCAGCCACCAGACCTTCCGGCTTGCCAGCTGGGCCTTCCCGGTCCTGGCTGCTCTGTGCCAGCCTGAATCCCTGGACTCACTGTGGGAGGGGGTCCCTGTCCCACTCAGCCCCCTGGTCACTGTGGGAGGGGGTTCCTGCCCCACACAGCCCCCTGGTCACTGTGGGAGGGGTCCCTGCCCCACACAGCCCCCTGGTCACTGTGGGAGGGGGTCTACCTCACAGAGCCCCCTGGCCTACTACACACTGGGGAGAAAGGCAGCTGTCCTGTGAAGCGAGACCCATTCTACAGCAAAAACACAAGCATCACAGGCCAAGGCGCCTGGCCCCGATAAACGTTTGCTGAGGATTGTCCCGTGGCACAGGCCTGCGGGGGATGGCGTATGTCAAGGTGTGGTACTGAGCAAGGGACGGTGCCAATTTGGGGATGACATTGGTGGCTTCCTTCTTCCCTTCATGATTTCACAGAGAGAAGTAGAAGAAGTGGCCGGCTTCCCTCTGTGTCAACAGGAAGAATGGTGGCTCTGTACGACTATGACCCAAGAGAAAGCTCGCCGAATGTGGACGTTGAGGTACCAGCCAGGCGTGGTTTCACACTGACCTGAGATGACAGACCAGGGGTGATGACAGAGCAGACCATGCATGCCACACCAGACCCACGTTGCCATCTCGAGTCTTCGTAGGAAGGGCCGCAAGCCAATGCCTGCCTTAGGGACCACAAACAGCCTTATTCTCAGGGACATGACCAGCCACGGCATCCCCTCCCGGCATCCCCTCCCACCGTAGTCACAGTTTCAGCTACCTATAGTCAGCCACGGTCCAAAACTGTTAGTGGGCAATTCCAGAAATAAGCAGCTGAGTTGAAATTGCTGTTCTCAGTAGCATGACAAAACCTCACCGTCCTGCTCTGTCCCCCTGAAAGTCCTTGTCCAGCACACACACACTGCGTCTGCCACCTTCCCTGTGGCAGTGGGGCCAACACACTGACGTCACTTCAGTACAACGTACATTACAATCGTCCGATTGCATCAGTTAGTTATTGTCACTCTCTTAATGTTTGTCACAGATGTGTATCAAAAAAAAACATGGTGCCTAGAGGGTTTGATAGCATGGTGCAGTTTCAGACACCACCGGGGGTCTTGGCATGGGGGTCTTGCTGTACTGACAAACTGTCCCTAAGCCCTGTTTCCCTGCGCCCCCACTGACAGCTGTGACCCACCTCCACTGGCAATGGAATTATAGGGTCACTTTTAAGAGCAAAATAAAAATAAGAGCCACAGAAGTTCACGTGGTCACTCAGCCACAGTCTAGCACAAGGACCTCACACACATGGAAAGTGGAGGAAAGGGGTGCTGCCATTCTAGGTTCCTACTGCCACCCCACTGTGCACCTGGCATCACCAAGGCAGAAAACGACTTAACAGTGATGGCTGAGGCACCACAGGGGCCCTGCCCATAGCCAGTGTCTCCAAATCCCTGTCCATCCAGGGCATTTCTGTGACCTCTGACCCTCCTCAACTTCATTCCCCTGGCTTCCTGTTTAGAAGGGTCTTCTGTTTTAAGGTGTCCTTTGGTAGATCTGTGTGTCTGTGTTGTACTAGGGTCCGTGGTCGGAGACGTGGGCACAACTTTATCCCTGAGGACAGGGAGTTGTGTCCCCATCGTGCCTGACACGGCCGCCACTTAACAGACGGACATTAGTTAACAACTGAGTTGGGTTTTTAATTGGAGAGAGCAGGATTTATGTAGTTATAGTGACTCCAGAAGGCTGGGGACAGACAGAGCCACCATTAGTTTCTTTGCTGGACTGAGAGAGTAAAGGTTACACCAAATCCTACGGGAAATCCAAAGGGCTTGTTCTGAGGAAGAACCCTGTGAAGCAGGGTGGTTCCTAACCGCGCTCCACCTCTGCAGGCTGAGCTTCCATTTTGCACGGGAGACATTATTACTGTTTTCGGTGACATCGATGAGGATGGATTTTATTACGTAAGTTTTTGAAGCATCAAGAAGCACCTTTTCATTCGTTCTGTGTATTCTTTTTTTTTTTGCTCGTCTGTTCTTTCTTTCTCTTAAAATTATGCATGAACTATGATCTTTATGAGGCTTGATGAAAATATTGCCTTGCTTGCTGTCTTCACTGTGTTTTTTGTTTGTTTGGTGGTACTGGGATTTGAACTCAGGGTTTCACACTCGATACGGGCGCTCTACTACGTGAGCCAGGCCCCCACTCCTTACCTCGGTCTTTCTTGTAGTTGGGATTATAGGATTGTGCCATCCTGCCTGCTGTGCTGGTTGAGAAGGGGAAGGGGGTCTTGCTACCTTTTAGCCCAGGCTGACGTCAAGGTGATCCTCACAATCTCCACTCCGGAGTAGCCAGGATTAGAACCCAGCCCCTGAGTTCTCTTTTGCATAAAATATAGAAAACCAGAACCATACTCTTGCTTTTACCTTTTTGCTAATGCCGGTGCTTTCCGTGTCTGTAAACTGTGGGGAAAATAAATGCATTTGTATCCTGACATTTAAAATTGCCACATCCAGGCATTTGATGTGATTTTCTAGGTGATTTTTTAATAAAGAAATTTTCTTTTAGAGAAAGAAGTGAAATGCACACAAAATAAACCAATCAGTAAATCCTCAGAGATGTTAGACACTGCCCTCACCGTCCATCTCCAGCACCCCATCAGCTGTGGGGACTCTGACCTTTCAGTACGGCTCCCACACCATCTGCCCCCCGCCAGGGTGTCCTGGGGGTGTCTCTTTTCAAATTTTAGATTGCCTGGGACTCTTCTTCACTGACTTGTCCAACCCTAACTGTCCCAAGAGAGCTAACTTCCTCATATTTTATGGATCCTAACTTTGCAATATCCTCCCCTCGCCTTCTCAGTTCCTCTCTGTCCCATGAGCAGAACAAGTACCTGCTCCTCCGTCAGCCCTCCCTTTGCCATCCCATAATCCACAATGTCCCCAGTGTCGTCATCGACTCACTTCACTCTGAATAACGTCCTCCACGTTCATCCATGTTGTAGCATGTGTCAGAATCAGTTTTTCCTTTTTTAAGGCTGAATAATATTCCTTTGTACGTAGAGATCACATTTTGTTTTTCCAGTCCTCCATCAATGGATGCAGTATGGACATGGGTTGTGTAGACACGCCTTTTTGAGATCTGACTTTCAGTTCTTCGGGGTATATACCCAGAGGTGGAATTGCTAGGTGGTGTGGAAACTCCAGTTTTAGATTTTTGAGAAGCTGCCCTACTGCTCTCCTGGACACCTGCCCCATGTGACTCCCGCCGATGGGCACCAGGCTCTGGGTTCCCCCCACCCTCACGACACGCGTTAGCCTCTGGTTTTTGTCTGGCTGTGTGGTTTCGTTTGGGGACGGTGGTCTCTTGATAGCAGCCGATGTCCTATCGTTTCCGTTTTCCCAGTGAGGAGCAAGGCTGCTCTTTTCAAGAATTTCTTGGCCATTTGGATATCTTTTTTTGGAGAAATGTCTATTTTTGTGTGTGTTGCATTGTAGGAGCTCTTTATATATTGTGGATATTAACACCTTAATAGATTATTATTATTATTTCTAAATATTTTATCCCATCTTATAGACTGCCTTATTACTCTATCGATTGGGCCCCTTATCACAAAAGATTTTTAATTTTGACATAGTAGGCTGATGCTTTTATGTCATCCCCTGACCTTATAAATGAGGAAACACAATCCTGTGCTGTTGGGGACCAATTTTTATTGCTTGCTTTTGAGATGGGGACTTGCTGTGTTGCGCACTTCTGGGCTCAAGCCATCCTCCTGCCTTGGCCTCCCGAGCAGCTGGGACTACAGGCATGCACCACTGCTCCCAGCCAGGGGCCATTCTTGAACTCGGTGTGCACACTTCTGGGGCTGGTTAGTGTTAGGGCGTCTGGGGAGGAAGAGACACGGCAGCGGGGACACCCCTTGGTACTGACAGGCGTCCAGCGGGCAACTGGACTTTTGCTGAGCTGGATGCAGCCCACGTGTAGATGTGTATCTGCAGCGTGGATCTCAGGAGGTGTCAGTGTCACCACACTTTGATTTTCCTTGTGTTGTTGGATTTTTACGAGAGCATATCACATATGAGAGCAGGAAGAACAGAGAGCTGAGGGACTCACAGCTCCACGCTCTCTTGCTTGGGGACCACCTGCTTTCTGCCCCCCAGGGTATACCAGTCTGGGTGCTAGGGCCATGGGACTTTCTTTTTGTTTGTTTTGCGGTGCTGGAGACGGAGTCCTGGGCCTGTGCATGCTATGGAAGCTGGGGGCACTGCCTTACCTCTCCAGCCCCACAGTGGGCTCTTTCAAAAGCCCCCGACCACTCTAAGATTGGCTGAGCTTGAAAACCAGCCAACCCGGGGCACCAAGGAACCTTCCATCCTGAGTGGCTCCTCCAATCACCTCGGCCCCTTGGACTAAACGCAGATGGAGCTCGTATTTCAGCTGGTGGCCAAGGTTCGTCTTGTGATGGGGACCCAGTGTCCCTTTCGGAATAGAGTCCCTCTGCATCTGTACTCTGAGCGAAAGCAAGCGGTGGGTTCTAGAAAAATGAATACTACTTCTGTCCCCTGCCTTGTTTTCAGGGGGAACTGAATGGGCAGAAAGGCCTGGTACCCTCGAACTTTCTGGAAGAAGTGCCTGACGACGTGGAGGTCTACCTTTCCGATGCGCCATCCCACTACTCCCAAGACACGCCCGTGCGCACCAAGGCCAAAAGGGTAAGCCGACCCCCTTAGCCTCTGCCCCTGCCCCATGTGCTCTGACGCCATCTTAACATTGAGATTTTCAGATCCTGGCTGACACGCAGACACCCAGAGATTTTTTTTCTCTGTCCGTCTCTGAGGGTTGTGCCCCAGAATGCTTAGTTCTAAGTAAGTTTGTTTCACACACAAGGACCCCTTTGGGTCTACTCGGTTTGCCTTGACCCCAAAGCCTGCCCACCGTCCATGACAGGTGCACATTTCAGCTGATGCAGAGTGAGGTCTGGGCCAAGGATGGTCACCTGCTGTCCTGGTTAGGGTTCTAGGGTTTTGTAACAGAGGTCAAAGGGCCTCTCCAGCATATCCACATTCACGTGTAGGGTCTCATCTTTACGTTCTGCCATCACCGCGAGTTCTTATCTGTTCTATTTCACGTCTATATTTATTTTTTCGCTCATCTTCTTGGACGCAGAAGAAGAGTGTTCATTTCACACCCTAACCAGGCATGTAGCCTTCACGTAAGTGGCAACTGAAGACACCTAGAGAGATACCGACTTAAGCTACCCTAAGCGGACCAGTGCGATAGACTTAAGGCTTCACTGTGGCTTAAAGAAAGAGAGAGAGAGAGAGAGAGAGAGAGAGAGAGAAGAAATATGTCTCAAAAAAAAAAAAAGTAACCCAATCATTGGACCTAAAGTATCAATTAGTCTGTCAGTTGTCTCAGTTGTAAAGCAACTGCTCTCGTGGTAGTGAAACGAATCATTTCCAAGCGTTATTTCCTCCTGTTTCCATTCAGAGTATTTGAAAGGTCAAATTTGGGAACATATTTCTTAACGAGCTAATTGTTTGTTTACATGGAGAGTGTTCCAATGTCTACTTATAATTAAAGCTGCAAGTTGCATTGTTTAACCACTCTTGGAGAAGCACAACCTCTTAAATATGTTTACAGTAGGGAATCTTACTTTCAAAACAAAATAATAATAATCCAAAATGTGAGCAGACGAGTCGTGATCAAAGGTGACCAGGTGTCGGCTCTGAGCTCTCCCGATGCTGACCTGAACCCTGAGTTACCACACCATGACCTGGGGGGACGCAGATGGCTTCTCCTTAAAGGCCAACCGCTCCCAGCTCGGACGGTGGCGAGAGGCTGAGTTGGTGGTGTACCAATGCAATATGGCGTCCTACGACGTGTGCAGCTCAGACCTTCGCACTAGCCGGGGCAGCTGGTATCTTCAGGTGCTTTGGGATGCATTCCTGGGTGTTTTCCATTAGACTTAGACCTTGATTTCAGATCCAAGCAAGCTCGAACCCCGGTACACACCACCCGCCTGCCGAATTAGACTCGCGCTGGCAAGGCTTTGCTCCCGAGGGATTCGGGAGCCAGGGGTGACAATGTACAATTGCAGGCACACGTCCAGCTGCAGAAATAAAGGGGCAGAGCAGTCACACTCTGACACATGAGAACAAAATCCTCTCCCCAGCCCGGTTCCCGAAGCACTGCTGGTGGAGTTACTGAAATTCACGCGAGCGATTGCAAATTCACGCTCAGTTCTCTGGCAACGACGAGAGAGCAGACAGTGAGGGTCTTGAGCTTTCTTTGATTGTAATTAAGGTTCATTTTAGTTTTTTTTTTCTTTCAACCAGTGTGCCATCTCCAAAGTTTTCTTCCATCCAAATTCCCACTGGGACCATGACCTGTACTTGGGTCCCTTCCCCACTGATCTGATTTACAGGAACCCCCCACCCCACCCCGCCCTGCCTTTAGTCTGAATTCACAGAGTAAACCTTGACTTGGCTTTCCTTGCCAAAGCGATGGTCCCCTCCCAAGACAAAGACGCCGAACCCAAACCCGGCCAGATCCCCCCTCCCTCGGAGGGGCCTTGGGTGTGGGCGCCCGTCCTCATGGCATACATTAAAACTTGAAAGAAGAAACGAACCACCCTCTTCCCTTTGCTGGTGGGCGATGGGGCAGTACGTACGATGTTACTGGTGAATTGATGTCGTTGGCACTCAAACTGTCACAATGTACCTGCTAGGTTCCTCCTGAGGGTTCAGGGGCAACAAGGAGAGCTCCATCCCCCACAGTCCACCTCCATTCGGGGTCACCTGCGTCATCTGTGGGTTCTGGTAGTCCTGGGAGAGGCAGGGAAATGTCCTCGAGAAAGAAAAAGGGGCTGCTTTCCAAAGGGAAGAGACTGCTGAAAAAGCTGGGTGCCGTGAAATGACCGTGTGCTTCTGGACAACTTGCAAACCTCTGTGATTTTCCTTAATTCCAAACTAGGGCTTTCATGACTCAAGCACTTCCTAAAAAAAAGCAAAACCGTGTTCTCCCCTGACACCAGGAGAGAAACGCACTACTGTCCCCTCCAAACCGACCGCAAGACGGGGGGCTGTGTGGTCCTCCCCGTCTCTCCATTGTCACTGCTCTGTCCCTGTCCACAAGGTCTGATCGGGAGGCGGGAGGGGCGTCTTGCTGACCAGCAGGGCGAAGGGCTCTTGGCAGCTTGCCCCCCACCTGCACCTCCAGCCTTTGTGCATTTGTCATCTTCCCTTAAAGGAATGATTTTCAACCCCCTTTCCCCCGCCCCCACCTGCCTTTTTCCAGACGCTTGCCTCATAATGCCTAACTTTCACCTTGACTCTGGTCTTGAAATTCCTAGTTTAATTCGCCTCGATGTTCTGCCTTATAAATGCACAATGATTTGTACTGTCTAATAAAATGCCGTGTATCCTTTGTACGTGTCGTGCATTCCTGGTCTCCATCCTCACTGACACACTGCTTTCACACCACAGCTGTGCATTTTAAGAAGCTGCTCTTACGTGTTCCAAGTCAGCCAGGTAACACACAGAAAATGTTTACGTAGCCAATCCTACAAGAAAGCGCAAAGGAGAGAAAAGTACCTTTGGTCAAGCACCAGTACTTCAATCTGCCAGAGACCTGTAGCTAATCTTTGCTTTCTCTGTCACATTTTTTTAAAGTGGCAAATGAATTTCTGTTACTTTCATTAGTCCTCAAAATACCACATTCAAATACTCACCAAGGAACAGCAACACCTAAGGTCACCCACATGACACATCAGTCACACCAACAGCAGCCTAAATTTAAATTTCTTCCAAAGGCCCCATAACCCATCTTTACATTGGCACTTGAACAAAAGACTTACAAAGTTGCCGGCTCTTTTGTAATTCTTTCCACTTGTAAATTGTTTTTACTCTTTATACATACTTTTCAGGTTGCCTCTCTTTGTAATTTCTGGAAGGTTTCTAAATGAATGACAAAGCTTTTCCCCATGTGTCTTCAAAAACTGTGTTGTAAACTGTAACATAATTGCTCATGGTAGGATTTATTCAAGGGAAACCAGTGTGTGCTTAAGTACTGTGTGGACTTGGTGCATGTGTACAGCTAGTATAAAATATTTTCTAGAAATAAAATTTGTTATTTTATACAATGCTGTGCCTTCTGTATCTTCATTTAAATTTTTTTTTTAAATCATGGTAAGAGAACTGAATTCCTTTCTACTACTTGTCCTGGGATTATTTTTTTAAAGTAATTTTGACCCATGTTTTAGGTGTCACTTCACAATGTGACATTCTCACACTACCTTTTGTGATCAACGGAAGGCCATTAGCTCCGAGTCACTGTGTTGTGAGTGTGAAATACTCCTGTTCAACAGAGACAGAGAGGACTTGCTGGACTGTGGACTCAACTCAAATTCGTTAGCATTCCCCCTTGGTAACTTTGGAATTCAAGGGGTATTGATAAAGAGCGACACCGACTTTATAATAGGATATGGCTTAATTTCCCATCCACACAGAGATTTTCCTCCTCAGTCCACCATCCGCTGGCTCATGATGGGAGGTTGTGAGGCAGGACATCATGGTGGACTGGACAGGCTCGATGGAGAAAAGGAAGGGGCAGGAAGCAGAGAGGGAGGACAAGGGACCAGGGACACACCCGTCAAAGGCACCACCCCAGTGACCGACTTCCTCATCGCCCATTCAGTATGAACCCGTCAAGGGACTTGTCCACTGGTTTCCTGGCAACCAACCTTTGTCACACCAACCTTTGGGAGACATTTTTAGGTCCAAACCGAAACAAACAGAAACTGTTGGAATAAAGAGAGAAAACCAAGCTGGTGCAGTCAGATGGAAACAAGACCGTCCCAAGCAAGCACTGCTTTTTCAATGAATACCTCAGATTGTCCATATGCACACGAGTACAGCAATGCACACACACGCTTTTAAAATGCAGATATTTCAGTACAACGACAGCTGGTGGCATCCTCACTAGGTGTTTGTATTTAGATATTTTATCAGCAACATGTACTGAGAAATAGTCTCAGAGCTGTCTTCCTTGTGCAAATTAATTCTGACAAAATAAACCTAACAGTGATGACACTCTTAAATTTTCTTGTCACTAGCCATTTATTTTTACCAGTGACCACCAGGGGGTGTTAGCACACTGACAATGGAAAGTGGAGGACAGTAGCTGTCCTGTGAAGTCAAATAAAATACCAACAAGCAACCTCACCTCAAATGCATTTTAGGAAACTGTGTACTTGTGTAATTATAATTGCTACTGTAATGTCAGGTTGAATTATGTTCTCACAGTGCATTTACAGAAAACGTTTCATTTGAAGAATCGATGACAATTTCTCCAAAAAAAAAAAAGATGAGCCAAAGTAGCCAGTGCCATTGCTCTCTAAATCGTTGGAGAATATTCATAAATTCCCCAAAATATGAAAGTTTACAAAAGTCCAATGGAGTAACGAGTTAGACTTTAAACTTTTTTCTTTCTACTTTCAAAACTGACGTAAGTTTGCTGCAAGCCAGGTGCCTGCCCTGAGGCGTGAAAGGGGTTCCATTGTCACCAGGAAATGAGGCGGAGGAGGGTCAGAAAGTCTGTTTCAGATCGGAAAGTGTATCTCCCATGCTCGACTTGAAGCCTTGTCCTCTCTCCCAGGAGGACTGGTCCTTGAACCTGCTCTACAAAAAGAATTTTGAAGCAATTCTCAAAGTAGCAAGGGGCTCTTAAGCGAGAGAGAGCTCAGGGTTAGACACCGCCGCCCGTGGCTTCTCTTCCCTTGGGGCTTTTGATCCAAGCTCAACAGGACGAGGGGGCTTCAAGATTCTTCTAGATAAAACATGCTCTTTGCGTTTGGTTCCTGGTATTATTCAAATCGTTTTGCCGCTGTAACTCTCTCTCAAACATGGAGGCAGGGAGTCTGACGAGAGCAAAGGTCTTTGTGGCATGGATGCCTGCTTCTTGTAACTTTTATTGGTGCACTTGATCGGAGACTTGCTGTGCAAGGCGTTTTTACGTTTTGGGCACATCGAGGTCAGAGAAACCTTGAGGTCTTTACCAGGATGTGAGCAGAGGTCTAAGCTCGTCCAGACCTCTGAAAGTCCCCACTGAGAGGAGAAAGCGGGGTATCTGCTACAGCCGAGAGGGGACAGAGGGACAGAAGGACCTTATGGTACCTGTCAGCATGGTGCTTA